TTTAAAATTTATCTGTTCAAAAATACGGTCGACTTCTTCCGTAGTCAATTTGACGGGTAATCCATTGGGAGCCTCTTGAGTTAACTCTGTCTCCCGTTCTTCAACCCGAGCATCCACATCATTAAGAGTTTCTCCGACGCTGGATCAACAAAAACTCCGTCAGATATGGCATGAGTCATCTTGAAAAGTTCACCCAAAGATGATAAAACTCCGGTCTTCTCATACTACACAATAAAAATTAATTTTTAAAAAGAAATTTAGTTAATAAATAAACTAAAAGAATTAAATTAAACATTTAAAATAATACTTACAGTATCTAGATGGATCCCGGCGTGAGATTTTTGCCCGGTTCTATGAAGCATGGGGTCATTACCGTTTTTGTCCTTCGTTCTCTGGGATTTAGAGCACGCGTTGGACTTCTTGATCGACTCAGGAAGGCTCCAAAAGGCGATGAGACCATCCCATACATGCTTTGAGATCTCGGTGGGCTTTGCTTTATAACCGTGGTATACCCACTTGTCTTTCCAATCCGAGACGCTGTTTCGAAGACGGAGTTTTTCCTTTGCTTCAATTTTCGGCTTCACCTTCTCGGTGAGCGATATGTTCCAGTGCCACTTCTACTGGAAAAAAAGTTGTGTTATACTAAAATAAATAATGTAATATTTAATAATAAAAAATTTTAAAATAATAGTTACTGCAAACATTTCAAACCACGTTCGCCTAACGTGTTGTGGAGTCATCGTCTAGTTCAGATGGACGTCGAAAAAATAGTAGCCCTTTATTGTGTCAGAAATACTCTGACTGACACGGTTGTTGGCTCCAAACCTGAAAATATATAATACCCAATTTGTTAAAAATAAAAACTAATAAAAATGTATAATTTAAAAAAAAAACTTAGCAAAAAGTACGTGGCAGTCGATCAGGATCCAGAATTTGTAAACCCTCTTGATCGGGTTGGCGAAGAAGATCCTCCACAGTATATGTAGCGTACGATGCAGATGGAGGTACCCGCCTAACGTGTTGTGGAGTCATCGTCTAGTTCAGATGGACGTCGAAAAAATAGTAGCCCTTTATTGTGTCAGAAACACTCTGACTGACACGGTTGTTGGCTCCAAACCTGAAAATATATAATACCCAATTTTTTAAAAATAAAAACTAATAAAAATGTATAATTTTAAAAAAAAACTTAGCAAAAAGTACATGGCGTTCGATCAGGATCCAGAATTTGTAAACCCTCTGGGTTGGGTTGGCGAAGAAGATCCTCCACAGTATATGTAGCGTAAGATGCAGATGGAGGTACCCGCAAATCTGGATGAAGATGCTCACTAGAAACTGAAGTGGGATCATGTGTAAAACCTATGTGTACTAAATGTTTTCATACAGTTTCACTACAGGAAAATTTTGTATTTTTTCACTTTAGACAAGGACATAACATTTTACAGCTTTCGTGAGCGGTGTACAGCCTGCCTGGTACATGAATGTCTCTAGCCCAGCAAAAAATGCATTCGTCGCTCTACGGGTGGAATCTTTATACATATACATCCAACTCTGTAATTCGTAAATATTTCCACCATCAGACATTTTTTTTTCTGATTTGTTTTTTTTTTGGTTGTGTAGATTTGGAATGAGAATGGTGATATATATAGAAATTTTTCGAGTTTGGTAGGTGAATATTTTTACAAGTGATTTACAAGGAAACAAATTTATTAGGATTTTACTACTCGTTAACATCTTTGTTACAACAAATTTACAAAGACACTTGTAGTAGTTGAAGTACACTTTAAAAACGTTTTCACCTACCCAAAAGTAAGTTTTCTTCGTAAAACACTTCTAACTTTACTTATCTTTTACGATGAAATTAGATTTTCACGTATATCGGTTGTAAATTACTACGAAAATTTAAAAGAATATTTAAAACACTAACAAATAAATTAATTGGGTTTCCAAGTAATAAAAAAAAAACTAAAAAGAGTATACAATCATCGGAACAGTTTTTATCAACCTCGCATAACTTTCCTCGAGATATCTACTCGAGGAAAAGCCTCGAACTATTTCCTTGAGGAAAATCTATGAAGAGTTGATAAGAAACTATTTTGGTAACTGTGCACTCCATTCAGTTATAAATTGAGTGTTTTGATTTTTTTTTCATTCTTTTTTTTTTGTATTTGTTTGTGTGTTTGGAGGAGTAGGCATATGATCTATATATAGTAAATTTTCGAGTTTGGTAGGGAAAGGTGTAACAACGAATTTACAAGGAAATGTTTTACTAGTGATTTATAACTTCACCACATAGGTTTTACAACGTTTTTACAACGAAAATAGTTAGGTGAAACGCAGTACATACACATTTTCTCCAAAAGTAACCGTGACAAGTTTCGTCTAAACGCCACATAACACTTACATGTAAGTTACGACAAGATTTTATTTTCCTCGTTCTTTCGTTGTAACTATACATCTGTTTTACGACGAAACATTTTCCATGTAATTTTACGTGTAGTTTACGATGAATCTTGGTTTCGTCGTAAAACATATGAAATATACTCGTAAATTTACGAAGAATACATTTTATCGTAAATTTTCCTTGTTACGAAAACGTTTTCTCGTAGTGTATACATACACATAATAAGAAATATGCAAATGCCTTCAAATCACTTGACATTTCAATGAATTCTATAAATTAAATAACCACTAGTATAATTATACATGGTTTCCAAAAATATATAAATTGTGTGCATATGAATCATGGATTTGGATTAAGAAATATTGTAATGAAAACTTTAAAAATTTAAAATGTCATTTTAAAGTTAACTAAATTGGGTTACAATTCAATACTGTATTCCATCTTTTGCTTTCTGATCAACTGTAAAATTCATATAAGTACTAGTTATCTATATTTGAGTTCAGATTGTTGCAGTTAGTTTCTTTGTCAAAAAAGTAATTAGTAAAACTAACTGAACATAATTGGATTTAATATAATTTTACCCGAAATTTGTCACATTTTCAGCCTTTAGTGATGGTTAAAAAAAAAAAAAAACAGTTTTCAACTCAAATGGTGATATCAATATGAAGGAACAGTTAATTCAACTAATTTTTGTTCAACCTAAATAATAAAAATCGAAAAGGCGTAGTTCTACTAATTTTTATTCCTCTAAGAATACAACCACTTGAACTCTTCCATTGGTTAAGATGTCCGCGGAAAGATTGAGTCGGATGATTAAAAAGAGCAATGAGTGAAAGTAGGGGTGGGCACGGATCGGATATCCGGTTTTGAAGGTATTTGTGATTTGTTTTGTATGTTAGGATATCTAATTTTGGTATTTGCTTTGCTTTGGAAAAATATGGATATCCGAAAAAACGGATATCCAAAAAATAAATAGATATTTGTGGATATTTACGAATACTTACGGATATCTCATTTGTTTTGATTAATACAAATAATCTTAAAAATTTGATATAAATTTATTTTATAAATTATTTTTGCATGATATGTAAAATAAAAATTAAAAGAAATAGTCAATTTACATATTTTTTATAAGTTTAAGTTAACAACTATAATAACATAAAACTTAAGAAAAAATTATAATTTTTATAAAATTTTCCTTTTCTTTTTATTTAATATTTTTAATATATGTAATAATGTGAATATAATTGGTCAAATCATATGCTAAGATAATAGTTATATAGTTTTATATATTTAAAATTTTAAATATAAATAAAATATATATGTATTTATATATTTTTGGATCGGATCGGATATCCGCTTCTTAAAATTTTACTATTTGTGATTTTATTTGACTTTAACGGATATTGATTTTTAGTATTTGTTTTGATTCGACAGTTTACGGATATCTAAAATTTTCAAATTAAATGGAGACGAATAACGAATCGAATCAAATTTAACAGATAACATGTTCAGCCCTAAGTGAAAGGGGCTTCGTAATCGGAGAGAGACCAATTCCTTAGAAGACCGTGACACTGTCGTTCACGTGGGCCTCTTTTGACCAACCCTCCCGACACTAAAACCATCACTGCTTATTTACTGGCATTAAATACTAAATTTAGAATTCTTTAACTTCATCATTCAAATTCTACTGTATCTTCCTTAAGAATGTTAAACTTTTATAGTTTGCTTTGTCACTTTTATTTGAAACAAACATGTAAAAGAAACAACACACATAATTTTTTATATACTAGTAAAACTTTCTTCCGAAGGTGTTCGATAAAACTTAAACTGACATAACTTTGACCAAAAAAAGCCTGACATAATTTTTTTTATAATTATTTTGATATGTATTTATGTGTTTGTGTTTATGAAAATCCTACAAAGTTGTACATGTTTCAAATGCTCATTCATAAGCGTAAATGGAGTGTTAACGAAAGAATAATTTATTCATTATAAATGGTTTTCAGCTAAAGGTTGATGATAAATTAAAACTTAGAATAATTTATTCATTATAAATGGTTTTCAGCTAGAGGTTGATGATATTAAAACTTCACAGTTTGTACTCCATAAATGAGAGTGTTAAACAAAACATGTATCTAGTTTTGAATATAAGAACTGAAATAAAATAAAAAGTGGTTCTCCACTACTTAACACATATACTTATCTATCGGTTGAGAGTAGTACTGTTGGCCGCCTGGAAAACAGAGTTACGAATAATTTGTTTTCCGTACCCAAAAAGGCAAAGAACTCTATTAGAAAATTACTCAGTTAATTAAAGCCCTTGAGAGTATCCATTGTGGAAGTGTTGCTTACTTTAGATAAAGTAAAAAATATGTAATCTTCACTACAATAGATTTGATCATACCAATCCCTTTTGTCGCTAAGTTTCCAATGGGTCTCTATATATATGTAGCCATGTCTCATTTTGTACCTTATAACTTACTCACAAAGCAACAAAAAAAACAACACACACACACACACACCTCTCATTCATTTTCTCTCTCTCACTACTAACCGAAGTTTCATGATGGGATACCAAACAAACCCTAATTTTTCCATGTTTTATTCCTTGGAAAATGACGACCAAAATAATCAAGATTATGATCCTTATAACAATCTCTCTTCATCAACTTCAGTTGATTGCACTCTCTCACTTGGAACACCATCCACTCGTCTCGACGACCACCGCAGATTTTCTTCAGCTAGTTCTATCAATATCTCCGGAGACTACTTCTATCACGAAGGAAACGCTAAAACAACGTCGTACAAGAAGGGTGGTGGTGATCACAACCTACCTCGCCGTTGTGCTAGCTGCGACACAACTTCTACTCCTTTATGGAGAAACGGACCAAAAGGACCCAAGGTAATATAATAATACAAGTATTGTGATTAAAGCAAGTCATTTTGGTTATTCAAAACTGTTACAAGCAAAACTCCCTTATATATTCTGGGAAAAGAAAAGTAGACGACTTTTAATTAATGTTTATCACATAATAAAAAAGTATGGATGGTTTATAATTCCTTTTATCAATCGTTTGTTTTTCATTTACTTAGAACGGCTAGGTTGTGTTCAGTTTACAGATTAAATAATTTGTCAGTATTACAAAGATGTTAGCGATCATAGTATAATTCTAATCTCGAACTTATAACATATTACATATCTATATCTGATATGACTATATAAATTAAATCAGCAATGTATGTACATTTCAATAATTATTTCGATGTAACAAATGGTTAATTTGGCGCAGTCGTTATGCAATGCGTGTGGAATCCGATTCAAGAAAGAAGAGAGGCGTGCAACCGCCAGAAACTCAATAACCTCCGGTGGTTCACCGGCGGCAGAAATTCCGGCAGGTGAAAACTATTACAGTCATCATAATCACTATGCTTCGTCGCCGTCGTGGGCTCAGCAGAACACACAAAGAGTTCAGTACTTCTCGCCGGCGCGGGAGATGGAATATCCGTTTGTTGACGACGCCACGGCTGCCTCGTTTATGTCCTGGAACTGATGTTACGTATAGCGAGAGAAGAAGAAACGTTAAAATCATGGACGATGATGAAATGTCTTACCATAGATTATCACCCAGTGTAAATCAGTCTTGTTCAAATTCATTTTATTTTGTTTTTATTTATGTCATACTTCGACGACTCTATATCTACTAGTGTTTTCTTTTTTCTTTCTTGAAGTTTTGAAAGTTATATAATACGGTCTATTTTCTTTTCTTTTCTTTTCCACTTGCTTTGATATACGATGTATCTGAAGACTCAACTTTATTTTACATCGTTTTTATCCTTTTAACATTTTTCAATGCAGCCTGATGACTTAGCGATATATAGCTTGTTTCCTTGCATTTTTTTTTCTCTTTTTTTCTTTCAAGTACATGAATTCATTTCAGTGGTATGGCAAAGAGATTACAGGAGATGTTGAATCTAAAGCTGCTTTAAAAGTAAATATCTATCTAAAGATCCCCAAAAAGGACAAAAACTAGGTCTAATCTTATTCTAATTAAGTTTCCTAGCATTTTTATAAATGTTAAATTTAATTACTCATATTCTTTACATCGACTTAATGTTTTGAGGATTTGTTTTCTTTTTAATATTTACCGTCATTTTTCATTATTAATGTAGAACTAGATTTTGACCCGCCCTTACAGAGGGCGGGACAACCGTATTTGCTTTAAATTTATGTCTTTGTTAGATTATTACCAAGTATGTATAGATATGAGTATATAGGTTCAGATGGATGGTCGTTAAGAATTTTGGTTTTATCCGATCTTTCATTTCATTTCATTTCACAATACATCAATGAATATTGATGATATTATGTACTTCTTTGTAAGGTGAAATATATATATATATATATATATATATATATATATATATATTGATATCTATATTATAACAACTGTAATATATTAATATAGATTCAGATATATCAATTCTTAACTTTATACACAATTATTTTTGGACGGCTTTAAATCCGCAAACCTCAAAAGATCTTTCAACCGGGTGTATGTTCGATGCAATAATATTTTGTTCTTGTTTACATCAAAGTTTAGATTCAATAGTTTTTGGGGTTATTGACTTTATATGTAGAACAAAATAATATAATTCTAAATTTTAACGTTGTTCTTTAAAAGGGCGGGTTTGTTTGCTTAGTCAATTTTATTTTTTTTTATTTTGAAATCTAGTGTCAACGTAAAATATAGCTGAAGTGTCTTAATTATTTTTGTTAGGAGATGTTTTGTTATTATAAATTTATAGATTAATAATAAATTTGAATAATCTTTTTAAAAATAAATTACTTAAAAACTATAATTTTGTATTTGTCGACCAAACTTTTAATAGGTATGATAAGAAATGATAGAATTTTATTTTATCATAATGTATAGATATAATTAGAGTCCACTCTCTCGAATTGCACAAACAAACAATGAAGTCCTCAGGCTTTATGGATCACAATTTCATACAATCAACAATATGTTAGAAAATAGTTTGCATTTAGATGAGAAGACGATAAACATATTTCTAACTAAAACATTAAGTAAATCGGACCAGACACATTTGTATTTATAATTGTACAACTCTTGAGGAAAACCAAACAAAACAACCAACGCATGGCAAGACTTTTATTTAGATCAGTGTGTTATCAGTTATCACCTTTTACATCACCTTTTTCTGTAACTTGAGAAGCTTTATTGAACACCATTTTCCTTGCAAGACTTTTATTTATGTGACAACACATAGAACAACAGTGATATGTTCTCTACTTCCAAAGTATTCCTCGAAAATAATACCATAACATTGAACAACAGTGTTGTTTCAAAAGTTACAGAGAGTGATAGATTGATACATGTTGGTCATTTGTCTTCTTCTATGTTCAGTAATATATGTTTTTTGCTTTTTGAAGTAAGTGAGTTAGGGGATAATATATTCTTAAAACCTTCCTATAAAGAGCTGAAATTGCTTTGTATAATTTCTTTTATGTTTTCATATTGTCTTCTACGCTTTCTTCTTCACAAAACAATATGGTTTCTGAAAACTCAGTGAGGAACTACAACTCTGACCACAGTGATGCCGCCTACACCACTGATACGAATGGGGACTCCAACTACGACGGGGATAGTGGTGACTCGAACTTAGATCGCAGCCACTATTTCCGAAACATGGATCTCGGATATTTTGTTTCTGATCCAGTACTGATGATGGAGGAACATGCAAAGTTAAAGGAACTTTGCTTACAAAATCATAACATCGAAGCTTTCTACATTGAAGGGTTATTACAATACTTTGTCCACAAGGAAGAACGTAGAGGTCTCCGTCGTCTACGTCTAGCAGCTCTTGGAGGCAATAAAAACGGTATGTATGTTTATGGTTTGCTAATGCTTGTCCGAGGTCATTATCTTAAAGCATGAAGTATTTAGATAAACTCAAATGGTCAAAGAAAATGTCCACCTCTGATAAATGCTGGGAAAGTCTCAAGCTCTCACTCAGCAAAATCGATGTTTCAATACCACAAGACTACTATATCAACATGGTTAACATTCGCACATGGTCAAAGTGCGACCGTTATGACATGAAAGAGTTTTGCAAGGAGTGTTACTACTTCAAAAGGGCATACCAGTTTCTCAAAAATTACATCAATATTAGCTGAAAACTCATGTCTTGTATTAACTGTTTGTCCGATTGCTTCTACTTTAAGGTCTGCTTTGTTGTTTTTCTAAGTTACTTGTCATAGTAATGTCGTGTGCTTGACTTCTTATGCAATGTTCTGAATGTAATCGTATGTTTGTGTTATTAATATATGCATTACGTATTCGTCTTCTGTCATCCCTCCTCCTTATTTTCTATAAATAGAGAGAGCATGCAAGTTAGTATTTTATTCAACTATTCTGTCTTGATAAAGAGAGTGACAACATATATATGCAGTTGAAGCAAATGCCATCATCCATGAGAATATGGTTAACAAGTCGGCTTAGTTCTGTTTAATTTACATGGTTTTGTAAATCCGTTTCCAACTTGATCAAAACCATGGCGTGCATCCGAAGTCTGGAAAAGAGTATACAGATGAGAGACATAACAATATTGTCAACACGAACAAACCCCGTCATGGTAATCTGAGTTTCTATACATTGTTTATATCCTTCAATCAGAACCTCAAAAGATCTTTCAATCGGATAGCTCAAAAAATAATATGATAAATCACCAGCTCTCTCAATTATTTTTAAAGTTTGATCCATGCTGAAGTAATCAAACACAGAATAGTGAAATAAAACATATCTGAAAATAAAGTCTTATTGAATTTTTGTATTCCTAATGTTCTTATTATTGGAGCGTAATCACACACGCAAAAGGTGTGAAATAAAACAAATTCAAAGCATAGTACTGAAACACGTTATACAGAATTAGAGATTTTGAAAAATCTCTTTGAAAACCACATTTCTTGTCTGTTTCTGAGGCTTACCATTCTCGTCTAGAATCAAAATCTTCAAACCTTTTTTGGATGTGACCCTAGAGATAGCAACATAGAACTGTCCGTGAGAAAACACAGGGCGTGGCAAATATATTCCAACATGCGAGAGTGATTGTCCCTGACTTTTATTAATCGTGATAGCAAAGGCAACAGAAATAGGAAGCTGCCTTCTTCTCATTTTGAATGGTAACTTACTGTCGGATGGAGTAATAGACAGTCTAGGAATTATAACAACTTCCCCAACTCTTTTTCCTGTAATAATTCTCGCTTTCACACAGAATTCAGACATATCTATAATCTGCAATCTAGTTCCATTCATCAGTCCTCCAACATGATCAATGTTCCTCAGCAACATGACAGGGCATCCGATTTTCAAACTAAGATGATGATTTGGTAAGCTTGATACCTTGATACTGTTCAAAAAATCTGGTGTGAGAGCTTGATCATTAACAGAACGCGTATCAGATGGGTCGATGCTGTCAGAGCTCAAATATGTCTTCACCTCGCCTGCATTTGTTTAAAAAATTATGTTAATCACTTATAAAAAAAACTTAAGTTTAATATATGCAATAAGTTCTTACTAACCCTCTAGCTTATCCAACATATGCTGGTTTATATTGTTCACATCCTCATTTGTCGGCAAAGAATAGCTCTTTCTTGAAAGAAAATAGGATCCTTTTGTTGCTGTAGAGCTGTTGCATCTCCGTAAATTTCTTGGCTGATTGATTCTATGGGATTGTTGGCATCCATAATAAGAAATTCGTCTGGGATATTGATTAATGCGTCACCATCGTTGGGATCACCAGCTACTCCATCTCCATCTCCAACATCCAAAATCCACTTAGAAAATTCTTCAAGTTCCTTCAATTCTTCTGCATTCATATTAGACGACAACAACCTCATGTTCTTTGTTAGTTTGAGCACTTTGCAATGTTTCCACAGATAGGATGCATTTAGAGAATTCAACACAATTTCAGGCCTGGATCCACCATTTATAACAAGAAGAACTTGCCTGAAATCTCCACCTAATACAACAACTTTCCCAGCAAATGGCTTCTTTTCTTTTATCCTCATAATGTCTGCTAAGCTCCTATCGAGTGACTCAAAACAATGCTTACTCATCATAGGTGCTTCATCCCAGATTATCATAGAGGCTTCTGTAACCAAAATAGCAGCATCACTCCCTGGGGACAAATTACAAAAAGAGTACTCATCTGGATTGATTGGTATCCCAAATCTTGAATGTGCAGTCCTTCCTCCTTGTAACAGAAGAGAAGCAATACCACTCGAGGCAACATTCAACACAATTTCACCTCTGGATCTAATAGCAGAAGATAATAGTCTCCACAAAAATGTCTTACCAGTTCCACCAAAACCATAAACAAAAAAAAGTCCACCTCTTTTCTTTGTAACTGCATCAATAATCTCCTCATAAATATTTTTCTGTTCATCCGTCATCTTCAAAAAATCCCTATCATGCTCTTCCCTTAACTCCTCACGGTCATAACTCAACTCATCAGTAATCATAACATTTTGTAAATCAGCAGCATCGAGTAAGGGCTTTGGCATTTTTTCCCAATTTGATAGAGAAGTTCCATTACTCTTCAAAATTTTTTCAATCTCCAATAGAGCTCCTTCTTTTTTGTCAGCATCGCTTAAATATAAATCTGTAGTAAAACGTTGTATGGAAATTTTGAGATAAGTAAATTATCTAACATGTTATCTTGATTAAAAAATAAAGTATAAGATAGATAAATAACCTGGTCTGTTCAGCCGTTTTCTTAGTCTATATTCAATGTCCTCTAAAAGAAACTCCCATGTCTTTTCCCAAAC